TATTCTTCAGTAGCATGTTGTTTAATCTCCATGGGTTTGTGGTTCTTATTCCTTCTGCAGTTGATCTCTAATTTCAAAGCATTATGATCAGAGAATATGGTTGGTATGATTTCAAGCCTCTTATATTTGTTGAGGCTATCTCTGTGTCCCAATTTGTGGTCAAATCTTGAGAATGTACCATGTGCACTGCAGAACAATGTATAAGCAGCTGTTTTGTGATGGAAGGCTCTGTAAATATAAATTATCTCCTTTTGGACTAATGTGTCATTTAAGGATGTTATTTCCTTATTGATTATCTGTTTAGATGATCTGTCCATATCTGAAACTGGGGTATTTAGGTCCCCTACTACAATAGTGTTTTGGTCCGTTTCTCCCTTTAGTTCTGTTACTAATTGCTTTACATGATTCAGGACTCCCTGATTGGGAGCATAGATATTAATAATGTTATGTCTTCTTGGTGCATAATTCCTTTTATCATATGGTATGTCTCTCAGTATCTTTCTTTACCTTTTTTACTTTGAAGAGTATTTAGTCTAATATTAGTACTGTTACTCTCGCTTTTCTCTGAATGCCGTTTGCTTGAAATATCATTTTCTACCCTTTCACTCTGAGGCTGTATTTGTCTTTGGAGCTGAGATGTGTCTCCTGGAGGCAGCATATGGTTGGGTTTTGTTTTTGATCCATTCTGCATCTCTGTGCTTTTGATTGGTAAGTTCAGTCCATTTACATTTAAGGGGATTATTGAAATCTGAGATCTTCTTATAGCCACTTTATCTTTTGCTTTCTGGTAGCTCAGAGTTTCCATTGCTTTCTTGTCTTTGTGCTTCTCTTTATCTTGTTTGGCTTTTGTGAGTCCTTCTTTTTTTATGTTATATACTTTGGTTCTGAATCTTTGGTGTGTAGTTACCATTATGAATATGTAAAGGATAGTTATACATATACAGTCATGTATTTTCTTCTGCTTGTTCCTTATCTCCATTCCCCTTTGGGAATTTGGATTTGAATCCCCCGACCCCCCCACTTTTCAGTCATTGTTATCTCAATTTGTTCCTATGTATGCTGAACGTTCATTACTATCTTGTTTTAACAATTCTGTTTTTATTATTTAAGGTTATAATGCCCTGTTCTTAGTAAGGTTGTACTCCTCTGCTCTGATTTGCCTGGTAGCCACTTACCTCCTAATTCTGTATTTTGTTTTGTTATTTTGTTTTAGGTGAGTTGACCCCTTTCAGTATTTCCTGTAGTGCAGGCCTCATAGTGGAGAATTCTCTCAATTTTTGTATGTCTGGAAAAGTCTTAATTTCTCCTTCATATCTAAAAGAGAAATTATCTGGATACATCATTCTAGGCTGGTACTTTCTTTCACTTAATAGCTTAAATATTTGATTCCATTCCTTTCAGGCTTGTAATGTTGCGCTGAGATGTCCAATGATAATCTAATGGGTTTTCCTTTATAAGTTGCCATTTTTTCTTCCTGGCTGCCTTGAGAATTCTGACTTTGTCGTAGACAATACATTATCTACATTTGTGTTCACCACCCAAAGTCAAATCTCCTTTCATCATCATATATTTGATCCTCTGTACCCTTATCCGCCATTCCCTCTCTACTTTCCCTCTGGTAACAAGTAAATTGTTGTTTGTGTTTATGAGTTTTTGTTTGTTTGTTTTGTTCATTAGTTGCTTTCAGTTTCATATCCCACATATGAATGAAATAATATCCCTCCCCACCAATCCTCCCAAAAAAGAGAGAATCTGCAGGATAAAACCCTTGCAATCTCCTTCCCTGGTGGTCTAGTGCTAGGATTCAGCACTCTCTTCTCTTTCTCCTTGATTCAAACTGCCCTCGGGTTACTTGCTTTTCCCCCCGTTATGTTTCTGCACACTGCATGACCACTTCCCTAATCATTAAGCCCTTAGGTCAGCATCGAACTGCCTTAGGAACAAAGCCTCAGTCTGTTGACCACAGAAACGGTTTCTATCAAACTAAAGATAACATCTTGTAGCTCAACCTCCATGAAAGCAGAACAACCCTACCAGCACTCCCTTGAATCCAGACACAAAGATGCTGTGACTGACATCAGGACCTGATGCAACGATCAACTGCCCCCTACCCTAGGCCCGACTAATGAGTAGAGCCCACAGCCCCAACCCCCTTAGCTACCATGACTAATGAGTTTTCTCCTATATAACTTATCTTCAGGAGACCACTGGGGGTTCAGGTCTTTGATCACTAGCTCACCTGTGTCATCAGGTTAGGTGCCATAAACCTCTACTTTCTTTGCTGCAAACTCCAATTTGTGTCTCTTTTGGCTTTGATGTATTCAGGCAAAGAAACACCTTGAGTTTTCTAACAGCACCAGTAAGGTAATGTGGGCCCTCATCATCTTCCCAAAGAAGAGACAATCTGTAGGATAAAACTCTTGCTGTCTCCTTCCCCCCACCCACCCCCCAAAAAGATGTCTTGGTCTAAAAATAATTTTATTTTTGTAAATAGCTCCTTTGCCCCACCCTTCTTTCTATGATAATCTTCCATTTTGTACAACCACTGGGAGTTCCCCTCTAATTGCTAGATGGGATGCTGCTCCATTTACAAATCCCTTAATAAAGCCAATTAGATTTCTAAATTTTATTCAGTTGATTTTTGTTTTTTAACACTTTCCAAAGCAATCTAGAGATGTAATGGAATTTCTATCAAAATTCCAATAGAACAAATAATTGTAAAATTAAACAGTAGAAATAGAACAAATACTTGTAAAATTAATATGGAGCCATGAAACACCATGAATAGCCAAAGCAATCTTGAGAAAGCAGAAGAAAGCTGTAGGCATGAAGCTTTCTGATTTTGAACTATATTACAAAGCTATCATCATCAAAACAGTATGGTGTGGAGGAAAAGGGGGCCACATACTCTACCTGATAAGTTCAGAGGAGGCCCACATGGTGAGCCTTACAAACCCAGAGACCAATGTAAAATTCCCTATCTGAAAGCAGGTCGTAGTGGATAGTCACATCCAAGGCCTTTAACAAAGGTCAATCTTAAACTTTGAAATAGTCTATTGTCTTTGTTAATCTAAGATAATGTACCATGAAAACACCAGAATCACCTTCTTCTCAGACCCCTCAAAACACAACTGTCAGCCACACACCATGAGACCTCGCTGTTATCTAAATAAGCACGTGTCTCTCTGTTTAACTTTTTATCCAATTTCAGGGATTTCCCTGCTTTGCTTTCTCTCACTTCCCTAATCTTCCACCAATGACTGTAGACCCCTTCTTATGTCTCCTCCTTCCATTCTAACATAAAAAATCAGCTGTAAAACTGCCATTCTCTAGAGCATTTTCTCAATCCATTGAGATTTTGCTTCCTGACAATTGCCATCAGTTCTGCTTAAATGAACTCTTATAAGACTGTTTCTTAGGCTGGACATTCTTTTGTCAAAAATGTTACTGAAACAAAAACAGACACATAGATCAATGGAACAGAACAGAGAGCCCAGAAATAAACCCACACATATATGGTCATTGATTTATGAGAAAGGAGCCAAGAATAGCCAGTGGGAAAAGGACTATCTCTTCATAAATGGTGATGGGAAAACTGGACATTCACATGCAAAAGAATAAATGCAGGTCATGATCATAAGGATTCAGAACAAGTCACCTGAAGATGTGTATCTGGATTGTTTTTGAGACCCTGTAGGCCCAAAAGAAACTTTTACCACGCCCCTAAAATATTTAAATGTGGGGACTTGCCCATAATAAGAGTGATCATCAGCGATCACTTGTTGTGACCTATGTATAGGACGAAGCAGACTTCTAATTACTGAACATCTGCTCTTCTTACTGTCCTGCAAACAACCTTCTCCCCTCTGAAGCCTCAGGTTCCTCACCTCATTCTTAGCTCAGAATGACATATATATCTCATTTTCTGTTTGTCTCTGAACATCTTCCATGTTTCCATGCCAATCTCATTGGGAAATACATACTTGATAATCAATTTTCACCAGTGACTATTGTAGGTATTCTGGGCCCTGAGCTGAATGAGACAATAAAACCTGGAGACCAGGTAGAAAATACAATAGCATGTTACTAGTGTGATGCCTGGCATTAAACTTCTGATTTATGAGACATCCATTTCAAATACATTCATCCCAAAATATCACATTGTTAGCTGTATGGCATGGATATTAGATAAGCACGAAGTTCTCCCCCACTTGGTCCATTCCCATTCTCTCTCTCTCTCTTCTCTCTCCACTGATCTTCCATGTGGCTCTTGAACATGCTGAACCTGTGATTAATAAACATTGCTTTTTCATAGTTTCCTGGTAGTTTTGCAATTATAATAAGGACCACAAGGGCCAGCCCTGCAACAACATAGAAAGAGGTGTGAGTAACAAGCAGTAGGGGCCCAGGCCAGTGCCCCAGGCCATCCTCGCCTATAGCATCACTATCAACAGGCTGAGAATTACAGGGAGCAACGATGAAGTCTACATTATCAGGAAGAGCAGTTAAGGTACTGATGTAGGCAGGATGAGGGACACAAAAGTGAAAACTGAGGTTTCAGGTTTTCCTGGATTGCAATTATATAAATGGGCTTAGTAGACAAGTGAAGTTTTTTTGCTACAGGAGTAATACGACTTATGACTATTCTATTTATCAAACAAGAACAAATTACTTACAATGATGTATGTCTTTTGAGAAGGAATTATTCTTTAGAAATTCATGTTGGCCATAACACAAATGGAAATGTCCTAATATTTCTGATTAAGGTGAGAAAAACATTGTGAAGCTAGGAAAAAAGATGGGCGGGGGGGAGGCAGGGTGGAAATCATTCTGCATAACAGACAGAGCAGAAAGCTTAATAAAGTATTTCCTAAAACTGTACAGAGAAGCTGTTCTCTAACAATGGAAATTCCAGGGCATAAGTAAAAGGAGCGAGTTCTACTATCACCGTCTGATAAAAAGAATCATAGTTTCTGGTTGTGAGGCTTGGAGCCACGAAATCAAGGGCACTCTTTCAGCCTCAGGATGATTGTCACTTTTATAGCTGCCATCCCAAAGAATCTTTTTAGGGCACTCTTTATGTCTTTGTTCCTGAGACTGTAGATGAAGGGGTTCAGCATGGGTGTGACCACAGTGTACATCACTGACGCTACTGCGCTTGAGTGTGAGCTGTGGGTAGCAGCAGAGCTGAGGTACACTCCTAGAATCGTACAATAAAATAAGGAGACGACTGAGAGGTGAGACACACAGGTAGAAAATGCTTTATACTTCCCCTGAGCTGATGACATTCCACGTATGCAGGAAACAATCTTACAGTAAGAATAAAGGATCCCAGAAAAAGGACCACCAGCCAGCAGGACAGCTGCAAAATACATCACCATGTTATTAAGAAAAGTGTCAGAACAAGCAAGTTGGACCATCTGATTGAGTTCACAGATAAAGTGGGGGATTTCCAAGTCTGCACAGAAAGACAGCCTCAAGACCATTAAACTTTCTAACAAGGAATCCAGGACACTCATGATCCAGGACACCAGAACCAGCAGTATACAGAGCCGGGGGTTCATGATGACCGTGCAGTGCAGGGGGTGACAGATGGCCACAAAGCGGTCATAGGCCATCACAGTCAAGAGGAAGACATCAAACCCAGCGAAAAGTATGAGAAAATATATCTGTGCGATGCAGCCTTTATAGGTTATGACTTTGCTCTGTGTCTGGATGTTCACCAGCATCTTTGGGATGGTGGTGGTGGTGGAACAGATATCTACCAGGGACAGGTTGCAGAGGAAGAAGTACATGGGCGTGTGGAGGTGGGAGTCTGAGCTGACGGCCAGGATGATGAGCAGGTTTCCAAACACAGTGATCAGGTACATGGAGAGGAAAACCCCAAATATGAGAGGCTGCAGTTCTGGCTCCTCTGAAAATCCCAGAAGAAGAAATTCTGAAAGTCGTGTATCATTCCCTGTTTCCATATGGTGGAGGTGATGACTAGGAATGAAAAAAAGTAACACGATTAATTTTACAAGTGGGTATTACTACCATGCTGAAATGCTAAAATTGAAATTTTGCAGTCAAATGTATATGTAATATATGGTTCTGTAGAGATCTGATTCCCTTTAAGAAATTTCCTGCGACATCTCTGATTAGAAGCCCTGTCCCACTCCTAGCATTTTGCCCAATAAGTCATACTTTTCTTGGTTTAAGGAGAAATTCTTTCACTCATTTGAGTGATATATGCTGATTTGACCATTTTCTAGTCAAAAAGTGTATGGTGCTGATTTCCATAATTTTCCAAAATTTTCCATAATCCAATAAGTGAGAAAGAATATAAGCAAATAAAAAATTATATATCATGTCAGTCTGTGCTGGTGTGTTGAAGGATAAGAAAGTAGGTATTTAATAAAGTGAACGACTGTTATTTTTACTGGGAATTGAGAAAGACTTGCAAACAAGGTGCCGTATAACAGAGTATTTAAGGAAGACATAGGGAGGACAGAAAGATTTCTGGAGAAGTAATCAAGGCTCAAAAGGAAGCCACATGGTGGGAAAAATGAACAAGAGGGAGAGTGATAGGGATGGTGTCAGAGGATGTGGAGGAATGAGATGGTCTGTCGGCTACAGATAAAACTTCAAGACACAGGGAGTACAGATGTCGTTCCTCCCACTCTATTCATTTTGTTTCCAAAAGATCCTGTGAGTAGGAGTGATCCCTTCTTTATTTCCATCTGTTGGTTAACATTCTGGGGTCTGTATTTTAAAGAACACGTTTTGGAGTATATGAACTAGGTACCCCTGTCCTGAAAATGGCTCATGCTCCACAAACCACATATGCCCATACTCACAAGCACACACATACTCAAACTATGATCTGGGGCCATGTTACTACTGGGCTCTACTCACCCAGAGCCACAATAATATAGAAACTATGATATAAGACAAGCTGTCAACTTCAGATCATCTTTCCCTTAAAAAAAAAAAAAAGAAATAACACCTAAATTCCAGTTGGTAAGCCTCCAACAGACATTGAAAATTGGACCTCCATTTTGATATGATTATTTTATGTTCTATATTTTTTAAAAAGCAGTTAAACAGGTGGAGAGATAAATTGATGGGGTAGGGGTGGAGATCTAATAAGCTGGGGTGGTCCCTGAGATGTTGTGATGAGGAGGAAGCTTCCTTTGTTCTGGAGACATTCTAATTGCAATTAAATTGCTCTGATTCCCAGAGTAACCTATAAAGTAGCAAATAACAATTTATTCGAAACAAAATAAAAATAATATCTTTATGGTGTCAAGACACCTTACAAATTGAATATCCAACAAGAAAATGTACAGAGAATAAACCCACAATTTACAAAGATATTTATAATGTGCATGAAAATGGATTTTTTTTTTAAAGCTGAAATGGAAAGAGACATTTGTAAATGACATTAAGGGCATAACTTTGAAAATCAGAAAACTGGGTTTTGATTCTGGGATGTAAATTGCCAAAGGCCAAAAAATAAAATATATAAAAATAACTTTAAAAGGCAGTGGAGAAAGCAGTATTTACAGTTATAATTTCTACCTGTATAAACATAAATGGAATCAACTACGCTTAGGAGAAACAGAGAGGTGATTATTAGTTGAATGCAAAAGAATGACTTTCACAAGATGAAAAAGGTGACGGCTATTTGTAAAATCACATTGATCTACAAAAAGCAAAAAGGTAAAAATAAAGAGAAACAGATGTGAAATAAGAACACAATATCTATAAAAGGAGTTTATTACTACTAAGGATAGAATTGACTGTACAAAATATATAAATTTTCACACATTTCACCCAAATACACCTATACATATTTAAAATAATTCACTGTCAAACCATAAAAACTTTAGTGAAAAAAACTCCATATTTTTTGGAAGTATGGAATCCAAAACCATCATAACAACTTGATCCTCACTATATAAACTGTGTAAAGAAATTGCATAATTTCCAGTCAACTAAAACACAAAATACATGCAGTTGCACTAAGATGAAAGGAATTGCAATGTCAAACTCTTTAGAATTCCTCTTTAGACTTATTAAATAATATTTTTATGTGACTACACAGTGTGAGATATGATACTGTGAAATGTTTCCCTCAGGAACAGCTGCTACAAGGTTGTATCCACTGCCTGTATCTGGATACTTTTAAAAAATACAAAACATCCTCGAAATAAAGCTCCTGTTAAAAATTAAAAAAAAAAAGTGCCTTCACTTCACTGTTCATGCTCCCACACCTAATACTCAGTTTTCCTACTCCCCTGAACTGCAAAACTTCTTGTGTACATTCCGATTTTACTGGAACCACTTTATGCCTCCCATTCCTTCTTCATTCTCATTTAACCAAACTTCCAATCCCATCATGGAACTGTTACCAATGATCCTGGCATGGCTCATTCCAACAAACACTTCTGTAACTGCAGAGTCAGCTCAAAATGGTCCTAGCCTGTTTCACGAGATACCGAGTTGCTTTAATGAGATAACAGACCAAAACAGCAAGTCATGCCGCCTAGCCAAGCATGCCCGGAGGGAAACTTGACCTCCAGCTGCATGTGCAATCAAAGTTCCCCACACCCTACCCTCCTCCGTGGAACCAAAGAATAAGGACATAACAGGAATTTGAACACTCAAACCCTTTCCAAACCACTGGGTCTGTTGTCCAGGAAGATCCTGTGTTGATGCTTCTTATCCTAAAAGGCCAACTCCAAGTACCTCCAACTAAAACTTGCCCCACCAATGCTTCCACATACCTGTTCCCCCAATTCCATTAAAAATACACCCCCAACTCTGGATCAGGGAGTTGGGCTTCTGAGCATTAGCTTCTCATTCTCCTGGCTGGCACCATTCATAATTGAATAGGTAATCTTTCTCAATTGCAATTCTCGGTGTTTAGCGTTTAGCTATGCTAGTGCCAGGTGGACAAACTCTGTTTTGTAACACTGTTCTTATTAAATATTTTAAAAATATATTTTTACATTAATTAGCGTACGCGGTAAAACAACATGGCATCTATCAGCTCTAGGCGAGGATGGCTAGGCTCTCAAGGGACCTCAGGAAATCGTTCTCAGGTTCTGTCTCCTCTGACCTTCTCCTGAAGTAGTTGCTGGGCTGTCTGACTCACCTGGATGGGGTCTCTGAGAGGGAGGACTTCTTGTGGAAGTCTGAATTCCTCCCTGGATGGTTGATGATGAAATCTGAAGCTCTGTCTCTAGACAAGACAGCAGGAGAAAGTGAAGCATCAGTTCTGAGCCAGCTTAGGAGTCAAAAGCAACAACCATATCCTGTCAAGCCCAAGATGCACACATGGAGGGACTGCAGGAACGGAGGTATTCTCAACTCCGTTTATCTGCTCATTAGGCACTGTTTCCATCGTTACTCCTACCTCTGAGCCCCGATTTCCCTGTGGGACACTGGTCTAGATGGAATGGAAAATTTTCCCGCTGATTCTTTGTTCC